ATCACATTGGTAATTCTTTGCTTCTTCAATATCTGTGCAGTCAGCGTGAGCCCAAGAACCACACGAACGACACCTCCACCATAAATCATTTTTAAGACCAAAATCGTCACAAATGGTACATTTTTGGTTAACCGTCATATTTTTCTTTTTTTTGCCCGAAACCACGATTCTTTTGACGTTTCCCACATCTCTCAGCCTGGTCTTTTTTCTCTCTTCTTTTTTTTCTAGTTCATCTTTTAAAGGAGTCGACGTCATAATTTGGGAATGTTGGGCTTTCCGTAACGTATTTCTGGTTTTTAATTTCGGCAAAGGCAGAAGATCAGTAAAACTTTTGTTACCCTTCTTCGGTTGGAGGGTCTTGTCAGTATCGTCACTTAACTCATCCTCGATAACTTCCTCTAAGACCAAATCAGAGTTACCAGAATCTGAAGAAGATGAGGTTTCACGTTTACGTTTACGTCTATTTGGTATCATTTTAGGTGGAGATTGACACTTAGATGTGGATGGCCTACTCGGTGGTGAAGGCGTTTTTTCATTACGTTGAATTGCAGGACCCTCATTTTCTTCGTGGGAATTAGGAGGCATTAAATTTTCGCCGGTTATGTGCTCCACTTGGCGCTCCACGTCATCGTCCGGCAAAGGTGTCAATTCTTCTTCAGTAAACACAAAACGGTTAAAGGGGAATATTCCAGTTACTTCAAAGGCTCGTACACCTTTCTCGATTGTGGCTACCCTATTGAAGGCATTTTTGAATAATTCAGCGATATCAGTTTGAAGGATTTTTTCATGCTGTTTGGATTTCATATATTTGTCACATTCCTGATTATAGGCTATCTTTAATGGTCCAAAGAAACAGACGTCAAGAGGTTGGAGGCGGTGCGATGTGTGAGGAGGAATTGATACAACTTTAATACCATTTTCTCTGCAAAAGTTGTATGTCGATAAGCTTGAGTGGGTTGAATGGTTGTCAAGCACTAGTAAAACAGGGTCATCTTTACTAGATTTTGTGTAAGATGCAAAATGTTTGATCCATTCTGTGAAAAGTTCTTCAGTAATCCACCCCGACTTAGAACATCTATATATTGCACCAGTAGGGCCATTTTTTTGAAGCCCTTCTTTCATTCGCTCTCTTTTAAAAATAAACATTGGTGGAACATAATGACCCGCCGCGCTCATGGCAGTGACAACATAACTAGTTGCCCCCTTTCACCGCTCGTAATAGCTCCGACTTGTTTCTGGCCCTTAGGAGCTGCAATTCGGCTAGGTACGTGTACGTTGCTAATACCGGTCTCATCTACATTAAAGATCCGATGAGCTTCAAATTTATGTTCGTCGTAGATTTTCTCAAGGTTATCAAAAAATATATTTACTTCTGCCCTGTTAAAAGCCAAAACTCTACTTAGGCTGGTAGCTTCTGGCTTACGAAAGCTTATAGTGGGGTTACGCCGGATAAACAAATAGAGCCAATCTTTCCCGCACATCTTTTTCTCCTTGTTAAAATTGTGGACAATTCCATTTTCTTCAGCGAACTGATAAGCAAGCTGTCGGATAGACTGTGATGTAAGTCCATAAAATAGTTTAGACATAGCGATAATATGGTTAGCAAGTTCTGATTCTTGTTCAGTGGTAAACACCGACTTTCTACCCAACTTATATTTTTTAGGTTCAAATTTTCCTCTAATCCTATCCTGAAGCGTTCCGTATGGCACATCAAACATCCTTGAGGCATTCCTTATTGATGTAACTTTGTCTCTTATTGCTTTAAGGGCACGCTGCATGTTTTCTTCAGACCATGAAGAACGACCACTATCCCGCTTATATCTTGCACGTGGCATCTACAATAATATTCATAGCAGTGCCGTGTCGACCAACGTGGGGTAATATCGACCACCGTGGGGTAATATCGACCACAGTGGGGTAATATCGACCACAGCGGTCGATATTAACCGACACTTTTAAAGAAGAAAAATGCAAGCGGTAAGAAAAACTAGATTAGAATTTAACGAAATTGTTGTTATGGATTTAAATATAGACGTGTTTCTTTGTATCTCATGTAAAATAAGTAAATCTAAATGCCAATAAAACTCTGAATTACCTTAAACGTAACACTCTGTCGTTTATAAAAACGGACACCAAATTAAACAACGTACCGGTAACAGATCAAAACAGTAATAAACAGCAACTTGTTGTTTTGTGTGAAGTTACCTACTGAACTATTAGACGTGGCTGTTGCTTGCGATCTCAAAACTCGTACAGGGTTGCCAAAACTCGATTGGTCGATATTAGACTGTGGTCGATATTAGCCGACTTTCCCCTATTTATGGTCATTCATTTCCTTTTAGCATAGTTTAATCGGAGTGTAGTTTTTGAACAACTCATACTCGTGAATCATTAAAGATATACACATAGAATTTGGTACAGTGCAATTTGGTACGTATCTCCATTCTCCATGTAAAATTTTACCAAAAACTTACCAGTGGCATCGGAATTGGGAAGAATTTGAAGATTTTGGCTATAAAAATGGTATTTGTTGTTATGGAAAGTATCTCACAGATATAAAACTCTATTTGCTTCTTGAGATTTTTTTCATTTTTTCAAAACACGATTTATTAAAAATGTTCAAAAACATGACGATGCACGCAAGTCAGTAGTGGGTGATATAATATGTATATCACCATCATATATACATATAACGACAGCATAAGCATAAATCTATTCATTCAACTACCGTTCGCACAAATAAATACGATATTTTTGCAAAGTTTTTATTCTCTTAGATATTGTTGGTATAATTCAGTGCTAGCTGGGTTATAATAAATTATAATATAAAGTTGGTTCCGGCAATATCATCAGCCCGTTAAGATGTAATTAACGTCTTCACAGACGGATCATAAAGGAAGGAAGGAAGGTGTAGGATGTGGAATATACTCTAGATCCTTGCATATCCGATACCAGTGGACAATGGTGAGGCATGCTACCGTTGTACAAACGGAATTAGCAGGCATAACCATAGCCGCTAAAGAAATCACCCGCAGGCGTACTACGGGTAAAAACATTAAAATCTAAAGAGGTAGTAGACAAGCGCTACTGACCTTGCGTAATCATAAGATAATGACTAGGATAGTATGGGAATGCCACCAAGCACTGGTCGTGACCCCGGCTTCCAACAGCATATCTGTATGTTGGATTAAGGGACACAAGCGGTGCAATGGCAATAAAGAAGCTGAGAAGCTAGCCAGGATGCATCAGGCTTCAATATTTTTGGACCCGAGGGACCGGGTCCAAAGCAGTGCAGCAGCTACCTTCTTGAGTCGAGAAGAAGGCCGTTGCAGTCCGATGCTCAAACATACCCAAGGAACTTCACAGGAGTTTGATCCAAACCGATTCAAGGACACGTCAACTGTATTGCTTGCCAAAGATTCACAAACCGAATATCCCTCTTCGACCGATAGTGAGTGCAGTTGGATCAGCAACAGGCCTCCTGGCCCGATACACATGAGATAAGGGACTTAGTAGGGAGGACAGAACATCACATCAAAAACGCCGGAGACTTATCGACAGGATTCGAGGAATTGAACTCCAACCAGGAGATATCCTACTGAGCTTCGATGTGACATTCCTATTTTCGAAAGTACCTGTCGACGAAGGCTTTGAGGAACTGCATCGAAGACTAATCGCAGAGGAAAAAGATGAGGTCTAATGGAATTGGCAAAAGTGTGCATAAAATCGACCTTCTTTGCATTCCGGGACCAACAGACGGAGGGAGCAGAAATGGGTTCACCGTTATCTCCAGTCCTGGTCAATATATACATGGAAGCCTTTGAGAAGAAAGCCCTGGAATCCACAACGTTGAAGCCTAAATGCTGGTACAGACAGGTATCTGAATGCGGAGTCCCACCACCACCACCCAGCCCAAAAACAGGGGATCATAAATACCTTGATTCATCGAGCGCGGATCATCAGCGAGCCAAGACACTTGGCCGAAGAACTAGAACACCTACGCACGGCCTTGAGAGGGAATGGCTACACGGCGAGAAATATAGAACGAGCTATCAGGAGGAGACATACACCCATCGAGAAACAGGAGTACTTAGCGACGATGTATCTACCTTACATGAAAGGTTGTACAGATAAAATCGGGCGTCTTTTGAAGAAGAGGAATATCAACACAGTATTCAGCACTATAAGGAAGGTGGCGGCAGCGTTTCCAAAGACCTGCAACAACGACCAGCTCCGGGGCCCCGGTGCGTACAGTATTCCTTGCTCTTGCGGAAAGGTCTACATAGGAAGGCAACAGGAAGGCACATCAACACGAGGTTAAAGGAACATAAAAGTCACCTCAAAAATAACAACTGGGAAAAATCGGCAGTAGCAGAGCATAGGGCGGACACAGGACACACATTGAATCTGAGTGAAGTCAACATGGTTGTGAGAGGGAGAAGATTTTGGCCCCGACTATACAGAGAAGCTTTAGAAATTTACAGAAATCCGAACAATTTCAACAAGGATGGTGGCGTGGATCTGCGAGGTATATGGAAGAGAGTCATCCGTGAAAGCAACCCACAGAAACGCCAACAACGCGGACGAGGTCACCCACCGGAACGTCATGGATCAGTGACCACATCAAATATAAATAGTGATAAGACTAGTAGATCTCCAGTTTCAGAGTAACTTCTGAAGAAGAGAGCGATATGTCTCTCGAAACGGCAAGTGTTGTAAACCGACGACGTGGCAACCAACCCGCAAATCATTCAACCATTAACGACAGCCACGGAAGCCTACAAACAAAACTAAAAAGGCTCTGTATTTGTGATTGGTCCATTATGCGAATATTGATACACCGTGTATATGTTTGTGAAAATTGGTACACCGCGTATTTAATTCGCACTGTATTTAATTACAGTAGCAAATCAATCCTGCGGTAATTTAGAACTTCGAAGCTTACAAGTAGGAGACACTATTGCAAAATGTAGTTTTGGGCTGTTTTGCGCCATAACCGAGCGCGGAATTGTATACACAGATCATGTTTTGCCAAGCAACTTTAGCAATTAAACGGTTTATTACTCCAGGTTTGGAATATGTAATGAACATTATTAACTAATATTTAACATCTATTTCTCTCAACTTCTATGACAAAATTTGTATACAATCGTGAACTGAGGAAGAAGTTATATTTTTTGTAACTAGTTTTCTATGAAGAAATAGATAAATTTTATTCATTTTATTCCTATATGAATTATAATATAAATTGTGTGTAGTATAATATACAATATACATATACCTACTACTAGGCAGCCGCACTCCAAAAATTATGTTCTATTGCAATTAATAAACTGAATTTTTTTATGATAGAGGCTGATATTTTCTAAATTTTAAAATAGATACAATTTCCTTTTTGTGACAAATGATTCAATTATTCATACTTACAATAAATAAATGTTAAAAAAGAATTAGGAGAAATTTTCCATTTATTTTTACTGTGTGGCATACCTTGCACTACAATAGGACATTAAAAATAAATCATTAATTCATACTGACTCTATATTTTCAATTAATTTTGAAATTGCTCTTACAATTAAACTCTTTCTGTTAACGCTTCATCTGATCGACATAATATCATTATATATAACAGACTATAACAAACGGTCCTCTTTTTTTATAATACGGATTGTCTACGGCTGGCGCCGTCTCCCCGTACCCAGTTTCCAATTTCTTCTGTCATAACACATATTTTTGGTCTTCAGCAAAATAGAGACTATAAAGGGTGTCGCTACCCACCTGAAGTCCCATGCTATCATACTTACGTGGCCACTCTTTTAGGGCTTTGTCCAAATAGATTTTAAATAATGTAGAGATAAACAACAAACGGTCATATACATTTTTCTAATCCACTACATATTGTCCTGCTAAATTTAGAACTGCAAGAAATGAATTTAAACAGATAGTTGATTCTAGTACAGGTAGATCATCACGTGGCGATTTTAGACAAACAAATATCAGTACCAGATCGATATTGAATGACACAAATTTATGATTTAAATTTACATATTATGGTTGTAACATATTTTCAAAAGTTGAACTTGTTACAACGTATCAGATTCCAATTGCTGAAGGCGCTAATTTTAAAACAACTGTAACAACACATGGAAGGCGTTCTGAATGTGTTAGGTTACGTTTCGGTTTAAGAAGTACGACACGAACTTTTCGAAGACTTATCAGTGAAAGAGTTTCAGGTTTAGATTTCTAGATAGATTACACAGCCACACAAAAAATTGTTTTTTGGATCTGGAGACTAGTCTACTACATATTTTCGGGGTTTTTGAATCCGAATCCGTGGCCCGTTTAACCCCATTACGTCAGATTTTACCAATAACACTATATAACTTCATGACACAAGCTGTCAAGTCCTATTACACACAATGAAAGAGAGCTGTGCACCCACAATAACCCTATAATCCCATTTATTCAAACTCAAACCTCTTAACCCCATAACCGTAAAATCCCATAACTGATAACCCCAAAATAGCCGTTACTCAGTAGTTTGATTTGATCTCTTATCACGGGATATATCAGTGCTCTATAAACAGAATACATTTAAACCTATAGTCCCCCAACCCCATAACCCCATAACTCCAATAACTACGTTACGAATTAATTCGATTACAAAGGAGAATTAGTTAAGAATTGATCCGAAACCTGTTTTACGAGTGACAAAAGCTTCAGGACGAAGTTAGATGAGACCTGTTTCACTAAAGAGACTAAAATCTGCAAACTGCACTGTTTTTGAGACTTTGACAGAGGCGACAGGAAAAATCCTAAAAAGATTCTAAAAATATCCAAAAACTCGTCATGAAAAATGAAAATAAGCATCACTTTCAGATTTTCGAAAATTTTCGAAAATCACCCTTATTTACGGGTTGAAAAGACAAAAAAGTGAACAATTTAAGAATCATCGACAGTTGTAAAACCCCAAATATTTCTATGTTGTTATCAAAATAATATTATGAACGTGAAAATATCTAATTTCGTATTTGTTACGGTCTTGTCCGGATTGAAAATCAACCCTTAATATCCCTAAAGGGGTAAAGTCATCCCCTTTAGGGACTTGAGGGGACCAGAAAAGCAATAAACCTACTTGGTTGAGGGATAACAACGACGGCGACGGCATAAACTAATGTGTGAATTAATCTGGCAAGTGTGAAGGCTCTAATAAGCGTAACTGCCAAAAAGTACGACGGATTTGTCAGGATGTAAATCAGAGTAACAATTAAAAAAAAATAGATGTTCTCGAGGTCGTTCAGATGAGCCCTGTAACAAAAAAATAACATTGTACTTTAGCTAAATGTTTATTCTCTCTTCTTAAAGAAGAAATTGCTTCAAAAAACAATCTATAAGCATTTCGATAAGCTATATCAAATAGACATTGTCTGAAATAATTTATTTCTGGCATTTCTTAATGTTTTTTAATTTTATTCTACATTGAATTAAAATGTTAAAAAAACGCAAACAAATAAATATCTCTGACAGATCCTTGTAGTGTTTATTTACAAATTAAAAAAAAGTTAGTTTACAGTGTGGCAAAATTGAGAAACTAAATACATATATAATTGTTGCTACTTACCTTCTAACTCTTTCTACTTTTTCGTCCTTTCTTACTTTACCGTTAAGTCTAATGACATCTTCAGGGCTTATATAGGCCTGAAATAAATAAAATTGAAATACCTTTATGTATTAACAAAGTTATAAAAGTGAAGCCGAATACAAAAATTAATTATCAGAGTAAGTATTGATCTTAAAGCAAATGTAATTAGGATTCTTCTAACACCCCCTAGCTCAATTATAATATATTAATGGAATTAATGCAAAGTACTAAGTGTTTATATTGTAGATAAATAATAAGATACACTATTAACCATAAAATATAAAGAAGTTATATAACGTACGTAACATAATCTTAATTAAATTGTCAATTTCCCAAAATTGTATTTGTTATTTACACCACAAAATTTTAAATAATATTGAACTGATACACTTTGATCCTAACAAGTAATATTTGTTCATATACTGACTAGAGATTAACTTTTAAATTATGCTGACCTTTGTTATAATTCGATTGATGGTAGTAAGATTCGACATGAACATCATTTTCAGGATCAAAAGAGAAGAGTAAAAAGCATATGTTCAAAATAGAGAATTCTCGAGTGATACACCTGTCGCCGCCATTTTTCAATTTCAAATTTTCAACTCACGCAATGAACTATGTCAATCAACTGAGGTTTGTGTATTAAAAAAAACTATTGTGACTTGAAAATAATTTAAATTATAAATATACGATAAGCTATCTAATTTATTATGTATATGGTGTAAACAGAGAGACTACTCTCGTGAATGTTAGGTCGTGTATAGACCGGATTCCACTGGGTGCTCGTCCTAATCAGCACTGGGATTAGCACATGCGACACCGGTATTGAAATTGACAAAAAAATCTTTGAATTATTGGATGCCGAAGATAATCTATTAGTCGTAAGTTCTGGATTTATAGTACTGCTCTCCATAAAAAAATAAAAAGAAAAACATCCTGGCACTGGTAAAGCATAATTTAGGAAACACATTTAGGAATTACAATTGTTGATGCGTTGAAATATCAGTCTGTACAGGGTGAGTTAACTCTGTGGCAAAGTTGATGTATCATTAGAATATAATTGAGGCAAAATATTTTAAAATAGGTTCAGGTGTGGGGGCAAGAAATGCCCATTTTAAAAATAATTTGACTTACACATTCGTTTTCGGAGGGCTTATTTATATTTTTTTAAATGGAACATCCTGTATTTGAGTGGATATTTATATTTTACATGGAATTATGCAACTTTTTCGTAATAGGTACTATGTGTCCCGTTTCCAAGATATTAATATTTTAATATAAAAATGGCATTTTCGCGTTACACTTAATCGTTGTTGCTGATATACTCGTTTTTTGGGATTCAATCTAAGTAATCGTCTCACAGGTCCACCATAAATTCTGAAGTGGTCACTGTTTTAAAATGTCATGTGTTCACAAAATCGTAACAAATGATTCAAAGGCAAACATTTTTTTTTTCGAATGGAACACCCTGTATTTTTAACGGGATGTCAAAGACCTTTCCAAAACCTACAACTTTCATAATAGGTGTTATATATCAGTTCCTCATATTTTACGATATTTTTCGCAATTTCTTTAATTTTTATTTTTTTTTACCATAAATAGCGTCGACATACTAGGGCTAAAGAGTTAAAACAAAGAAGCATTGCTTAAAATGTATCTTTACTTTTTGCAGAGAAGAACAATGATCCTAAATTATGCAGCTTTCTTATTCTTATTGAATTTTTAGTGAACGGGACATCGTTTATATCATAGAAAAATATATAGGTATTTAATACTAAAACAAAGTTTTATTTTTATTTACAATAAATGTTCAAAAATATTTCCTCTCTTGCTCGAATACACAAGTTAATTCGGCGAACGATATCAATGTGAACGTCATGTAGCATTTCTGATGTAATATCAAGACAAGCTTGTCTTATTCTGTTTAACATATTGTTACGAGTAGTAGGTGGCTCTCCATATATCCTGTATTTTACAAACTCCCACGAAAAAAGTCAAGTGGTGTAAGGTCATATAATCTAGGAGTTCACCTCGACCAAATGCATCTATTAGGATAAACATCAAGATAGGCTCGGTTTCTTCTCTTGAGAAATACATTATCAATAAGTAAGAACAAAACCATAAAAACAATATTAATTAATTAAGAATAACTATTTGAATCGCAGAAGAACGCTACTTCAACAGTCAAAGATAATGACAGGAAAAAATTTTGACAGTTACAAACATTTCTTTTGTTTCACTGACATATCAATGCCTCCCTAGAATATTTTCATAAAAAATAAAAAAATTGCTAAAAATATTGTAAAATATAAGGAACTGATATATAATATTCTATTATGAAAGTTGTAGATTTTGAGAAGGTATTTCACATCCAGTTAAAAAATGTGTTCCATTTGAAAAAAAGAACAAATTTTCACCTTTGAAAAAGATAAAATTTGGTACGATTTTGTGAACACCCTGTATGACATTTATAACTTAGTACATTATGTGTGACGATTGTTTAGATTGTATCTCAAATAACGAATATATCAGCAACCAATCAAGTGTAGCGCGGAAAATGTCATTTTTGTGATTTGTATTCCAGGATATGTCATATTACAGAATGGCCCCAAACTGTCTTCCCATATTTTTAAGACGGATAGTACAAGATCATTCAAATTACATTCTACCATTGCATATACCAAAGTTTTAGTAAATTTTCTTGCGATATCAAACAAGTACATAAAAAATAATTGTATGCTGCATTTCTGAGATATGGACAAAACATTTGTTTTTATTTAATAGAGCACCCTGTATATTTGTTGGTTTCTGAAATTACCTGATTTTTCTGATTACAACAATGCATACAAATCATATATTTTTTACTGATCCTCCACAATGGATAGTCAGGATTACCATGCAATCCTTAAAATTCTTGGAAAAATGCTATAAAAGATGTTCCGTCATTCTGTTCCAGACAAAAGACATACTATTCTATGTTTTTCGCTTCATTGATTAACCTATTAACTACGTTCAAGATTTTCTACTTTATCTTCTAGTATCCCCCATAGCAGAAACTACATGGGGGTCAAATCAGGACTTTATAAGAGAGTTAATAAATGTCATTTGTTTAGAATAGGATGGGAATACTTTTTAGTATTTTCTTTTCGCATGAAACAAAACACTCAAAAATACCGCGTAATACTATAAATATAATTGCTTTGTTTTATTCAGGCACCATTATTGTTACCTTATCACATTTACTACCATTGTTTTGGATTTTAAGTGCGTTGTCAATAAATATACCAAAGTATTATGCAAACTTTCAAAGCAAATGCATAACAGTTATATATCCTGTTCTAAACAAAGGACATTATTTTAACTCCTTTACACTGATAATTTTTCGAAAATTTCTGCCCTTTGGAGGGGGTCGAAATAAACATTCCCTAAGTTATTTTTTTCTACAACTTTTTTGTTTGACAAAAATTGAATACGTATTCAAAAAGATGTATCAGATAGCCCAGATTATTTTAAAACTTTTACCTCTCTTACTTTTTTGCTTACTCTACTAACCTCATGATAATGAATTTAATTTTTTTAGTAATAAACGGTTAGTTATAAAGGAAAAAAGTGATAGAGGTAAAAGTTTTAAAATGAACTAGGCTATCTGATACGTATTTTTGAATATTCAATTCAAATAAAAATGATTACAAAAATAACTTAGGGGATGCTTATTTCACTTTTATGCAAAACGTGTATTCACAGATTTACCTGTAGGTACCATTTGTGCTACTTCTTTTGAAAACACCCTGTCTGATAAGATATTTATTCAATAATTTAAAATCAGTTCAGTAAATTTAACAGCGCAAGAGCATACACACGAACTAATTCCATGGCAATCTTATTACATTATCTATTGTAGAGGGTGAATAAATTAACCAAAATAATGTGTAAACTATGATATGTATATTGTATATTATTGCAATCAGAAGAAAACAGGGGAATTTTAAAAAATAGATAAATATACCTACCTACCTACCTACAGAGTATGTAAGTATTGCATTTAAAAAATACAAGTTTGGTTTATATTTGAGAAACGTTACGTTGTTCTATTTTTCGATGCACTTTCCTATAACCTTGGTCTTTACAGTTTTTTTTCTAGAAAGAAGGGTAAAAAAGCTAAGAGGAGGAATATTATTAAAATGACCATGTACATAAAAACATCTTATTAATTTTTTTATATACAGGGTGATTCAGGTTTAATGTGGATAACTTCAGGAATCGATAGAACAGCTTAAAATAATGTTCATTCACGACATAAACTTTTTTCTTAAATCGCATCGTTTCGGAGATAGAGGGCGTTGAAATAGATTTTTTCCCGCTTTTTCCTCATAACTTTTGAACGATTCATCTGATTGACCTGAAATTCGAATTACAAACACTCCTTATGATCTTACATAAGCTTCTTAAGTTTGAACCACCTGCCCCTCTTACTATATTATTTCAAAACTTCAAAAAAATTAATTAATTTCAATAAAACAGCTGCATACCACTTTTGTCTCATTAATTTTGAAACAATTTCGTTTTTTTTCGATATTTGGCCTTATTTCTGAGATATTCAACGAAATCCGAGACAGTGTAGCGCCCCAGCCGCGTAAATTTCATTTAACGTTAAAGCAACCCATGCAAAACAAAACCCACAACGATTTGTATAAAGCGACGTTTGTGAAAATCGTCGTAAAAAGTAAAAAGTATTTTTATTGCTAAGAAAAGGGAAAAAATCCTACTTTATCACCCTCTATCTCCCAAACGATGCGATTTAGGAAACAGGTTTTTATTATGAATGAACATTATTTTAACCTGTTCTATCGAACCCTGAAGTTATCCAGATTAAACCTGAATCACCCTGTATATTTACATATACAGGGTGCGGCATTAGTGCGTACGATATCTCCTTTATTATTATCAAAGAAGTTATTTACAAAAATTGTAGCCAACTTAAAACTGCACATTTTAAAATTATTTTCGTATATACGTATTACCAGGGTGAACCAAACATTATATTTTTTTAAATGGGACACTCTATACATTATTTCAAATTTAGATTAAGTTCATATCTCCGATGCTTCAAATATAGGGATTTATTATGTTATACAGGGTATTTAAAAAGTTATGGTCAATTGTATTCGAGAATCATTTTTGATATTGGTACAGTTTTATAGAAAGTGCTATTTCTTTATTATTGCAACAGTTGAATATAGGGCGAGCCAAAATTCGAGCACATAATTTTCTCAATTTTTTAAAATGAATCACCCCGTATTTTATTTTAAAAACTAAAAATACACTATGTTCTTTCATATTTATACAGCATTTTCTATAGCTAACAAAAAAGAGTTTTAAAAAAATTCCTATTATAACAAGTTGGCTGTGGGCAAATGACAGTGTGACAAATTGTTATAAAACATTACAAAATATCTTCTATCTTGTTTCTATTTACCATTTTATCTCTAATTATTTATTTTTGCCCTATTCGGAAAATATAATTAAATAAGTTATATTTTGAACCACATATAGCGGTCGCCAACAACTATCCTACAAGAAA